GGACTCCGGTGCCTCCGACCACATGATAAATGAATCAAGCTTGTACACAGATTTTATTTGCCCGGAGTTTTCCATTAAAATTGGAATTGCTAAACAAGGAGAATTTATATACGCAACCAAAAAAGGAATAGTAAAGCTGTACACTTAAGATCAAGAGCAAATCAGACTGGAAAATGTTTTATATTGCCAGGACTTATTATCCGTCAAGAGAACTGGTTTGACTATTGAATTTAATCCAGGGCATGGTACAATGAAGAGAAGGTAGGTCAACTTTGAAAAAATTGCAAGTATAGAGGTCTACCTGTTTGGCTTGTAATGTCAGAAATAGTATCAAAACAATAACAAAATCAAACAACTTGTTGCATTTATTTTGAATAAATAATTGAAAACCGCCAGATACATAAATAAATAAAGATGACATATTAAGCCAAGAAAATAAAAAAAATTGAAATCATATGGTATCATAGCCCTACCTTGATATCATTGTACCATGATCCAGGGTGTGTTTTAGTAACCAAAAACGGAAAAGTTGTTATGGATGGTATATATAATTCTAATAAACAAGGTAGTTTACTTCAAAACGATTTGGTTAGCCTTTTCCAATGGTGCAGGTTAAATTGTATGGATTTAAGCAAATGTAAGCATATGTGCTTCTCCAGATCTTCTCTGATATTGCAATATAATATTTATGGTCATTCATTACTCTTGATGGATCCAAAATTACAATAACAATAGTAATTAAAGCAAATGGTGTTTTAGGTTTTGTTAAACGGTGGGCCAACGAATTTTCTGATCGATATATAACAAAACAGTTATTTACGTCTCTTGTTAGACCTATATTAGAATACGGTTCTGTTGTATGGGATCCTCAATATGCAATATACACAGATAAAATAGAATCCGTGCAAAAACAATATTCGCTATTTGCATAATAACGAGGTTTACATTGGAATTGTGATTTAGTTTTACCATCTTATGCTAGCAGGCTAAAATTGATTAGATTGCCTACACTTAAAAGCAGACATATTATGTTGAACTCCATGTTTGTACTAAAAATGTTAAATGGTAATATACCTTCAGATTTCCAAATCTCATCTATTAGAATTAATGTTCCGTTTAGATCTAGAAATAAAAAGCAAGGGCAAGTGCAGAACCTGGCTGTGATTAATGCGAAGCTTGTATAGATGGTAAGCAATGTACGTTGTCATTTAGTAAAATGGAATACAAAAAACATATAAAAAGACCTTTATTTATTATTCATTCGGATGTTATTTTAATTTAAAGGTTGTTAACATCTATGAAAATAATGGTAGAGAACATCTATCTTCTTAACTGAACATCTATCTTCTTAACTGGTGATCCTGTATTTGAAGAATCAAATGAACACAATAATCAGTTGTCCAATTCGGAAACTGAAACCGAGATCAAATTTTAAGAACGAGACATGGATTCTTGTCTTAAACGGGTGTTAAGATACCTCAGGGGTACTCTTAAGTTGAAATTGACTTACCAAAGAAACGACAGTCACAGTGACATATTTATTGGATATGTAGATTCTGATTGGGGTCGAAGCGAGATTGATCGGTAGAGTACAAAAGGGTACTTGTTTAAAATGTTTGAAACATGACTAATTTGTTGGAATACAAAGAAACAGAACTCTGTAGAAGCTGAAGCTGAATATATGGCTTTGTTTGAAGCAGTAAGGGAAAATTTATGGTTAAAAGCATTAGCGAGTAGTATTAAAATACAGTTCAATAGTCCTATTAAAGTTTACGAGCATAATCAAGGCTGTAGAAGTATATCAAAAAATCCATCATATCAAAAACGATCGAAACATATTGATATTAAATATAATTTTTCCAGAGAACAAGTTGAAAATAAACTAATAACTATTGAGTATATTCCAACAGATAAACAGATTGCTGGTATATTAAGAAACACCTTGCCAGCTGCTAGATTTTTGGAATTGAGAAGTTATCTCTGCTTGGAAAGCAGTATATATAATATATTTTTGAGGGGGTGTGTTGGATAATTGCACCAAAATTGTTCATTGGGAAACATACAAATATAAATAATAAATAAAATAAAAACTAATTTATGTTATCATGCTTGTTAGACAGAAGACTAAAGTGACTAAAGACGATACGTTAACACACCGTGGATACAAACCAACTATTTTCTCTAATGCCTATACAAATTCTTACTTCTTCACTTTTCGCTATCCATTTCCTTTTCTTCTCTCTATTCTATTCTAGTATTTTCTTAATAAATATGAACACAATGGACCAAAAGGTCTCCGAGTGGAGTGATTGTTTTCTTATAACCGCGCATCCTTTAACCTAAACCTAACCATTCAAAAATATATAGATCATAGTTCTCCATATGCTTTTTTATGTTATAAAAGTAGGTTTTGCTTTTATATGTATTCGTAATGAAAAGAAAAAAATAATATTTTTTAGTATATAACGTTTACTGGTGTGAACAAGTTGTCACACAGTAAATGGAAAAGCTGAATTTAAAATCCACACAAGAAGTTTTCTTAATAAAAGGGGAATATCCTATACTTAGGCTTTTTCAAAGAGAAAAGCTAAACGTTTACAACTAATTTTAGGATCTTAAAAATATGCATTAAACAATAAAACTATAGGCTGCCAGCAACGCGGTCCGGGTCAGCTAGTATACCTATATTTTTAAAACTTTTAAAACATTCAACTTTGTGAAATGAAAATAACGGTCCTATTGAATATCTGGCATAGGCCTTCAATTATTTTAATCACAAGTTTTGAATTTTATGTAATATGAACTTTTAAGAATTTTTCCGATATAAGTAGAACGTACAAATTTGCAAAGTTAAAAAAATAATAATAGAAACTAATGTGAATCTATGCAATTGGAAAAATAAAATGCAGACGAAAATAAAATTCCAACATTTTGCAATTATCTTATTTGGATTCCTTGACGATTCTTTTGTATTTGGATAATACAACACACACTATTCAAGAGGAACCATATAGAAATTTGTTGTTGTAATGCACGTGTCAGATTCCGAGAGATGGCGATAAATTGTCATCAGATATTTGATGGAAACGGATTCGATTGTATTTGTGGAATTTGGATGTTATAAATTTTAGTCTTTGATGACTGCTTCATTTCATTTTCGTATCGTCATACGGAAACAAGCCTTTATTTTTAAATCGAATCGCAATGCAAAGCCATAATGTCAAATACAAAATGTTTGTAAATCTAACAGTCTAGACAGTTATAAAATGTTTTGAACGCCCGAATTACCCAAATACGCCAGGTCCATATCTTAACATCTACCGACTAATAGTACGTTTCCATTGGAAACAGAACAACGTTGTTCGCTCTCAGAATTATATACACGAACAGATCCGTTCGCATGGCACCATTCGTCATACATAGCAACATGATTCATATTTATTTTTTGTTTCCATGTTTTTATCGAAACAAATGAAAAGAAATATTAATAAAAATAAATAAAAAAATCAGTTTTTTTTTTCAAACGTGTTTTTCTTTAAAAATTATGCACTTTTAATCAATGTTTTCCGCTTTTTCAAAAATTATTGATATTTTAAATATATTGTAATATTTTTGCAATTTTCAACTCAACAGAAGAGAGACATGTCAAAAAAAAAAATATTGATACCGCCATTGGCAAAATGTATATTATTCTCTAGAATTGTGCTCATATTCGACCCTATGGACAAGATGCGTACCATGGATTAGATAGAGAACAAAATGTTCTTTTGTCTGAATATATACATGGCATTTAGCATTATATTTTTCATTCATAATTTGAGTCTGTCTGGAATTTTTTGAAATTTAATTTCATAATTAAATTTTTCGATTAATGCTCTCATTTGTTAAGTGCTAAAGTGATTTGATTTGAACAATGTCGGATATCAGCGTTCGCTCAGGAAATGTTGTGTGGAGAATTAAGTCGTTTTTCCATAGCTTAGGCATAGACAAATAAATGTATAGACAAAAAAGTTGTCTCATCTATTATCCTCGAAATAAAGCGCTTCAATAGATGTCGTTCATGCTGTGAGAGAGCATAAGACTATTCACTCAATTCTCTCAAAATACAAAATATTGAATATTTTTATGATTTATTATTATTTTTCAATTGAAAATGAAACAGTGACTTTACATTACCCAACTATGTCGTGAAATATAGAACTTAAATAGCAGAAAAATGAATAAATTGTTTTCGAAGTCGAGTGATTCACTAGCCCTGAGTGACTTTACTAGCCCAAGATTAACCATAGTAACATCTGCCGGAAGCGGTAAATTTTAAAACTTTTTAGTCTATACCTTTATTTGTCTATGGTTTAGGGTCAAACAACGAATAGAGAGCGAATCAAGTGCAGTGGAAACGCCACATAATAATGTTGTAAAAATTGATAGTTTTCAACATTCATTCAATTGTTATCTACATATTCAAATTACAAACTTTCACATTTTTTGTTTCATTCATTCCTATTTTCAACACACAAGAAAAGAAATTCTCCAATTGTCAATGTTATATGAATACATGTGTTTTACTTGTGTGGTCAAAAACGTCGGCAGAGTACATCGCATTTTGGGTAACGCTGTAAAAAATTAGTATTACATGCGACAAAATTAAAATTTGACATAACAGGATTAAACTATAGTCTGGAATTGTGATTTTTATAACTAAAAACAAGTTACTGGTAAATACGTCTCACTATTGATTTATATCGAGGAACATTTTTTACCTTATCATTCTACTAAAAGAGGCATTTCATGAACAATAAACAGCAAGAAATAGTTTATATCACTAAAATATAAAAAAGTGAGTTGTGTTCAAATGCATTTTAAGATTAAATATATCAATATAAAAAGAAGCTTTACTGAAGGTATAGCAACTTTGTTCATGTAAAATGTATGTTTAAATATGAGTTGTAATTCTGTCATTGCATTAACTTTGTCCCATTTATAAAACAAAACACATTTACCTCGGAAATGCATCAAAAAACCACGTTCGTTTGGTGTTCCTAAAAACTACTCTAAGCCCAGACATTAAGGGGGAATGAAGTATTACAGCTCCTACTTCATGTCTCGTTGCTAAATCTACAGTAGGTACCGTTCCAATACTTTGCCCATAGAGAATGATGGATTCAGGGTTGATGTTAAATCTAAATACATAAGTCTTAATATTTGCTCTTAATAAAATATTTTGTCATTTACCTGGTCCTCATAGATTGCCAAGCCGCTTCTATATCAGCATACAGATTTTTTTCCGAAGGCTTTCCTCCACTCATACCGTATCCAGAATAATCATACCCGAAAATATTGCAATTAAGTTGTGAACCTAGTGATATGTAAAAACTGCTCATCTGCCCTAGGTCAACTGCATTGCCATGTGAAAAAAGCAAAGTATACTTTGCATTTTTGCTGCAACGGACATATATACATGTTATCAGATTACCACGAGAGGTTCGGGTAAAAAATGCTTCCACTTTCGACTTATCTCTATCTGAATATTGCCATTCTGCTCGATCAAAGAATTGAATATTATATTTTGCATTATTTCCGTCCGTCGGTGTTAATTTATATGTTGGATCTGGAGGTTGAAAAGCCAATTTAGCTGCAATCGGCCCAGGACATGGCGGGCAGCAAAACATACAACAAAGTTCACTTATACTGAACATAACTTTGCACAGTAAATAAAAAAATGTCAGTATTGGGTTGAATGTAATTGCTGTAAAGAGAAACTGAGTATTAAAACCGCAGTGCAAATAAAACAAATTCGAATACCTGTCAGGGCGTGTTATAACAGCATTGATTTTTTAATTCCAAAGATTTATTGATGCTTCAAATAAAAACTTTTTACGGAGAAAATGAATTATTTGCACTGCGTCCTTAATGTATAGAAGAGCTGAATTAAGAACAAGCTATTAATAAGCTTGTAGAATGATTGCCTTAGTAAAGAAAATCCAAGCCAATAGTATTCGTTATATTGTATAGAGGCCGCAAGTGTGGGCATTATTTTCTATTTTTTACGTACGGTGTGTTCGCTTATCCAATACTTACGCTTTATGCATATATAACATCTCCGTCCCTGCCGTTAACGCGAAATACATGGCAACTCTAACAATAGAAACCTTAGAAGAAAGCTAAAGTTACCTGAAACATGAATACTTTAAGTATTTCACCAAAATTGCTCTCGAAATTCAACAATAGATTAAAAATATTAGTTGCTAGTGAAATCATCAGCACTACAGCCAGCGATTCCAATTTGGTGGTTTTCCCGCTACTAATGGTTATTTTTGACGCATAAAAACCATCGTTTAAGAGTTATAGCGATTTTCTATTTTAAATAGCTACAGTATCGACTTTGGCTGTTTAAGGTAGTGATTGTAGCGATTTTTACGCAAAATTGTTTATTGTCATCGCATTTAAAGCAAACAAAAACGAAAAACTGACCAAAACCTATATAATTTGAACAAGAAGACTACTTCCAATAACAATTTGGCAATTAACTCAGTAGCGATTTACGGTGGTTTAAAAAAACTTATCTGTAGCGATTTTTACGTCGGAACAGTTGGCATCCCTGACTACAGCTGTTGGCAGATCGACCCATGGTACAATAATTACAAGGAAGGATAGACCATTAAAAAATACATTGTCAAAAAGGGTTGTTTCTAAGAGTGAAAGGTGAAGTTATTTAGTGGTATTGTGCTAATTTTTGTTCCATAAAAACGAAAGTGTGTTAACATCATAATATGTGAAAAAATATTTTTTTTATAAGAAATACAAAACAAACAAAATGTGAGAAAAAGTATACAATAATTGTTTATGTATTAGATGACTAGTATCATGGAAATCTTGCCCAACTTCAAAGAAGCTTGAAAATGCAACTCTGTGCTGGAGAATGGAACAATAATGGAATTTGTAGGTTATTCCACAGGATTGAATCTGAAATAGTACTACAATACAGTTTTATCCCAACACTGTAAAACTGAAAGTATGCATTTATTTTGCAACCGAATTGGAAATAATTTCAAATTATTGTATATTTTATTTAAAACAATACACACACGTAAACAAGACGTATATATGTTTTGACAGAATAACGACACCAAAAGAAAAAAAATTGTATTTAGGGGGTAGCTTTGTTCTACCTTCTACAATTGTACCATGACTAGTATGAGAATGATACACCTAAAGTTTTTAAAGGTTAATTGAAGCAGCTTATATAAATATAGGGTAAGTGCACAGTAGTCGGCACTTTTAGGATTTTCGCATTTTCAATCGTTCACCATTTTGAGTGGAACTTTTCAGTTATTACAAAGTTAATTTATTCAGATACGACGTTTTGTATATTTTTGCAATAATAAAAAAGTTTTAATAGCTTTTTATTAAATTTCAAAAATTTGGAGTTTTAATAAAATAATGATTTTTTTTCCAGCACCACTTGCCAATTGTCGGTATGACGTGTTCTAACAGTAGGCATACCGATTTTTTTGTAAGGATAATTAATAATAATTTATTAAAATATTATATGTTGCTTAGTTACACTGATTTGACATCATTATTATACTTTTCTTAAGAATATGCATTGTCCCGTTCTTTCTGAGGACCTTCACAGACAAAAATTTACTTTTTATTAGAATAAATTAAATTTTCTTAGCGAAACTGTATTCAAAGATAGCTGACATTATATTTGAAGCAAAAAAAACTGTTTACAATGTTTCATTTATTCAAGCTTAACAATAAAAGGTACCGACTACTGGGACATGCCGAACATAGGCATACTTACCCTACTTCGACAAACAAATAAGGTGAGAGAATGAAATGCTTACAAATTGTTAGGAAATCATGTAACGTACCCTTTTTTAATTCGGCAGGTCGGATTCAGGCTCAGACAGGGAGATCTTAGGGACAGCAGTCCTATCAAGACCACTTAAGAAATCAATATATAACGTGGTCCACTGCATAACTAATTTTTGCAACACTTTTGCAAATCTTTGCTCAGCAGCTAAAATAATTAATCACAAACACCAAATTTGGATCTGATACGGCGAATTCTCCAGGCTGTTTATTAGCCACACAGTGTTTTGGAATCGCATCGAAACCACCCTTAATTTAAGTAATTCCAACCCAATTAATGCTTGATTCAATTGATTTAAAAGGAAGCTATAACTTCATAAGAATTTATTTGGTCGCAGAGATGACCCCAGTGTGTTCACAAACTTATTAAAAATTACAAAAAGAAAAATTTTTATCACGAATTTTACTATTTTTTTAATTTCTCTATTTCCATATTCTTTTTATAACTTACATTTTGTAATATTTTTAAATAATTTTTTTAATGTGTTTTTTATAATAGTTACGTCACCTTAAATGTTTTGCTAAAATCTTTATTTGGAATTCATTCATTAATTTTCTCGTGGGCAAGTTTTTGAAACTGATAGTTGGATCCCTCTAGAGTCCATCATAGAAAATAGTTAATTTTTTGTGAAACTAGGTGGATTCGGTTGCTCGAAAGCATAAAACTTGCCTATCGGAGTAATTGTAAATAATTTTGTTTGTTCTACAATATTTTATGTTAGTTATTTCTGTATTAATATAAGCCTTAAAATTACTTAGCAGAAAGAAGGCGTGATGTAATTTTAGAAAAATGATGTGTTAAAAAATTTTTGAGGAGGTAAAATAGGGAGGTATGTGGTGTTTGATTGTGTAGAAAAGCGGTCATCAGGACATGCAACAGATGATCGAAGGTAGGGAGGCTAAATGTCGTGTATGCCAGTAGACGGTATGGATTTAGATGGTGTTCTAAGCCGTAATAGATTTTTCTTTGTGCCAGAGGTGCCAGAACATGATGTACAAAAAAATTTGAAGCCCGTTTTTTTTTTATATGAAATAAATGTGATGAAAAGTACATACCAGGGTAGATTGTGACGCACCTATCGGAATATTAGACGATTTTGCACAAAAAAAAAGTGTTTTGATAGATACCGTAAAGAGGGATCCGTTTGAAAGTTAATGATGATCCAGCTTCATTAATAGAGTATCCGCTCTGGCTTTAAAAATATGTTGAGCAAATGTTTTATGTAGTTGTTTTATTGATTATAGTGACAGATTTCCACACAACGCATGAGGTACTGTCCCTGTGCGTTGCCCTTTGTTTTACTTGGTTGGCTCCCCCTATGATCCTACATACTAAGTTGTAACTTCTTACAGGTATAACTATTAAATATAATTTTAAATAAACAATGAAGCAATAAAATAATAAGGCGTTCTTGATATGTTCGTAAGAACACTTAAAGTTTTCATTTATCTTATTTGGCTGAATTCCATTAAAGGCATACTTTCCAAGATACCATGAGAGAAGAATACAGGTAGATGCATCAACGCTTAGGAGCATTGATATATCAAAAAAATTTTAATGTTTTTTCAAATATAAGTAGATTTTTATATGTTTTCTTACACTACGTCATTCGTAGGCTATTATAATTCGCATTTTCAACATTTTTTACAAATTTAAATAGTTTTTCTTTCATCATTTTCAATTCCAAAATTGGTTTGACAGTTCATTGTCCCAGCAGCTGTGTCGACGCGTCTACCTATATTCTTCTACCATGCAAGATACATTGAGAACATAGAAACATCGTTGCCACTTTTTTCTTGGTTGGATTTCCCCATTAGACATGGTACATTAAGAAGGTAGAACAGCTTCGAAAACTATAGAAATACATCCCTGAGGCTATGACCGCTTCCTGTCGGACTCATTCAAAATTATGTACAACTAGTTGTAAAATGAGTTAAAAGCGCGAAATGAATGAAATGCTTGAATTTTCTCTCAAAAATATGATCCAACCTGTTCAATCTTTCAATTTCGCGGCAAACTTTATAGCTTTAATGCGCAAACCACAATGTACGTGTCTTCCAATCATTGTTTTAAATTATTTTGTTTTCATTTTTCAAAACAATAAATACATACACTAAACTGGAAGAACAAAATTCTAATCAGCTCGTAGCTCTACCTTACTACATATAATTAAAACTTATAGGTACAACTATTAAGTATAATCTAAAAATATAGAATGAATTAATAAATTAATAGTGTATTCTTGAATTATGGATAAGAATTCTTAAAGTTGTCATTTAATTTTCTTTGTTGACTTCTCTTTAAGGCCTACTTTCCCAGAAATTCTTAAGAATATTAAAACTCCGTCGCCACTTCTTTTTGCTTGGTTGGCATGCCTTATTGGGCTACTTACCAAGTTTCTCATATTGTACATACATTTATATTACATTAGAATTATTTTATGTATTGCTGTCGTTCTTAAAACTATATTTATGGTGCACTTTGTGTATTAATATTAGCATAGTAAAATTTAAAACAGCCTTCACAAACGCATCGGTTACAACTGCAACATATATTTAAGTGTGAACCATTACGACCGCAATGGAGCTAATAGTTTTGGTTGGGTCAGTATATTTTTCCATTAAACGTGTCATGTATTCTCTATATTGGATTTGACATTCAAGATATATCAGTGGTTTATTTAGTAGTCAAGGTATTATATATATATATATATATATATATATATATATATATATATATATATATATATATATATATATAAGTATTATATAGTGTATGGAATGCAATATTGGGATAATAATTTGTTCATACTCATCTAATGGGAGAAGAATATATTTTGAACTGTAAAAAATTGTTTCATCATCGTGACAAGTTGTAGAAAACGATTTTCTCTCTTGGTCACGGTGCGAAAAATGTTGTTAAAAATATATCAACAGTGCTATTAAATAACATTTTTGTATTTTCCATACTTTTAATCTCCTCTACGCCAATAAATGTAAAAATTGGCAAAAACATTTTTAAATCTCGATTTTTCATATTTGAACAGCACATAACTTCTGATCTGACTTAGAGTATTGC